CACGAGCAGGGAAGCTGCACCCAATACTCGCAAACCGGCACCTCGATACACGCATCAAATTGACGGTTTTGAAGAGCGTATTCGTACCGCCGGCGGCTTCCGGGCTAAAGACGAATAGTTCTCACGAGTTTTTCAGTGAGCAGCAAGAAATGGGTCCCAACCTCTGGAATTTTGTACCAACATCCGTTAGGTCACGAGGATCACGAAGATATACTTGTCTTCCCATTTGGATGTCGTGGTGATGACTTATTGATGAAGGATTGGGTAAAATTGGATGAAAATCGCGTCTGCGCCCCCCCCGAGCAAGACGCAAACGCCTCCGAATCGTATAAAATTTTCAGGTTAGGGTAATGTTGTGGTGTAGACTAGATCAAGAATCCGTCGTTCGAATTTCGATCAGGATCGATGCGGCCGTGATACAGCTACGCACTGACATATATGAGCAAAAGCAGGCATAACCTGGAATTACTAGGAATTACACTGAAATATCCCCTTCCCGCAACGTTTTCCACAGGTTGTTTTAATCTCTCCTGACTTCGAATTAGGGTAATTGTGGGGTGGGGATCACAAATATATTATTTCAATGTCCCAGTTCTGCTTTACAATGGACTTTCAGCTGCTCAAAAGCTGACAGTAGCTGAGCAATTTCAAAATTCCTGGGATTTTGGATTCTCGGTTCCCACGTCGAGTTTTTGCCTGATCAACTTTCTGAGTGGCTCTACCCCCCCTACATCGGCCAAGCGGAATATATTGCCGATGGGAAATGGAGGCACCGAAATTGGCAACGCCGTGAAAAAAAATTAATGGTGAATCGATCACAAGTGTTTTTTGTTTCTCTTTTTTGTTAAACTTTTAAACGTCGTTTTAGACATAAATCCAACAACGGTTTTTCATTTGAGTTTTTCCTCGCCGCGGGAGAGACAATTCGTCTTTACCGCGGAACCCGCCCGCCGCTAGAGTACGCCGGAGAAGTATGGGAAGGAAATAAAAAGGTAGTGAAAGAACTCGAGGCGGCGCAGATGAAAGCAGCGAAAATCATCCTAGGATGCTCCAAGCGCACAAGTAATGCAGCCGTCAGGGCAGAATCGGGGATCCAATCCCTACGGTCGGGAAGAGACGCGAGGAAGTTGACATGGCAGTATCGCATGTTGATGTGCGGGATGGGAGAGGAGAGGTTGCCGAGAATAGTGTGGGAGGCGAAGTGGGCAAACAAAAAGAGGGGTAGACAAGGTTGTTGAGGACGTATGGAAGGGGCTCGACATCGACGAAGATGAAACGCTGGAAACGGAGGGTCCACGGAGGTTCAAGGAGCAGATATCTGCTGCTTGTGCCGAGAGAGAAGAACGAAATCTAAGGAAAGAATCCAAGGATAAGGAGGGTCTAGAAGTGTACGGAATGTTGAAGGAAGGAATAGGGTTCAAGGACTACCTACATGGACCAATGGATGCAGGAACAAAGCTTAAGGTCAAATTCAGGACCGGGGACATAGGCCT